TTTCCCTTAAAAGAGTCTTATCCTTGAGTCTTATCCACATTGCTTTGTCTAAAACAGCTTCAGCACTTCACTTGTTAACTAAAACTTGACATTTCTGAAAACTTAAACTAAACAGGCACTAGTTCTCCTTTGCAGATTCCTCCTGCGAACTGCCTGGTTTGAGATCCAATCCCAGACTCTCAGGTAAGCATTTAAATACAAGTTTTTATTACAGAAATGAAATCACAACACTCTGAAACTCTGTTGGTCATTCACTGTGGGACAAGCCATCTAGCAAATAACTCCTAGCCAGACAACTACTTAGCTACTAATCAGGTCATGCCAAAGAAGTGACTAATGGGATACAGTATATAAATAACTGATTGAACAATGATTAATATGTACAGAGCATGAGGAATTATTGATAGGTAAATAGATTAATACATTAGGAATTGTTTCTGGGTAAACTAGTAACTATTGCTAGCCAGAGTAAGACTAATACCCTTCACATAAATTGTAACTTTGAGACCTACACTCTTCAGGTTAGGGGTCCCTTCTGCACATATGCAGATCCACAAAGATCAGACAATGGACATTTTAACTGAGACTGTCTGTACTCACTCTACTGGTCTTACACTGTTAGTGCAGCCTACAAGAATAATGCTCAAACTAGAGTTTTGATACTCCACTGTGGTATTTTTGCTTTGTTTTTGCTACACTAAAGCTGCCTTGGATACTATGTGTTTGTCTTTCATTTATTTATTTTTTTGCCATGGGGTAAGGGAAGAAAGGGTGTGGCAGAGGTGGTTGAGGGGTGGAGATAGGAAACATCAATCAGTTGGGTGGTAATGGTACATTCGTGGCCGTTCCTTATAGTACATAAGAACATAAGAACGGCCGTACTGGGTCAGACCAAAGGTCCATCTAGCCCAGTATCCTGTCTGCCGACAGTGGCCAGCACCAGGTGCCCCAGAGAGGGTGGACCGAAGACAATGATCAAGCGATTTGTCTCCTGCCATCTCTCTCCAGCCTCTGACAAACAGAGGCCAAGGACACCATTTTATAGTACACAGATGTACTACGAGCATTAGCATAGGACTTCTTCCCCCCTCTCCCTCCGGCAGTTTTATAATTCAATTTCAATTCCTTGGCTTTGGCCAGGCATTGGCACATGTCTTGGTCTCCCTCCTCTGCCATTAACTGTGGTAACTCCTGGGAATCTCTCCAGTGCCTACTGGAAAGATGAGACTGAACGTGCTTCTCTTCTCAGAGGGCAAGGAGATGCAGGATTTCTGTGGGAGCATCAGGCAGAGTGGCTGGAACGGGCTCTGGGTCTGTGAACTTGCAATGTATTGGAATTGGGGGAGGAAGAAGGGGAGAAGGAGACATCATGACAAGATGAACCTGGAGCAATGGAGATCTCATAGGTAACCAGACCAGCTTAGCCAGATGTGAAGCAATGCAACATGGGATAGCAGAGGGACTACCTGAAACAGGAAGTGGGCTGTGTCAACCCAAACCTTAATGTTGTATAATTTATTTTGAAATAGCCATGTCATCTCCAAAGTGGATTAATTACAACTAGATAAAACACAAGTCAAAGCACACCACAAAAAAAAATTGTGTGGGGATGCAAAGTAGTTCATGCTTTAAAAAACCCCTACAGATGCTCCCCCCCCCAAAAAAAAAAATCTCCTATGTACACAAGGCCTCGTACGAGAATAACAAGGAGTTAAATAAGTAACTGCACCAGTATGACTGTAAAAACTTGCCTAGGTAGACAAAGCCTTAGGCTACGTCTACTCTGCATGGCTATTTCAGAATATTAGAGGTATCCGTGTCTACACAAACTGCCCATTATTTTGAAATAACAGGCTATTTTGCCATCCTGGTAAACCTCATTGCACGAGGGATAGGGAATGGCTCGAAATAGTGTGTTATTTTGAAATCTAGAGCTGTGTAGAGGTGCCAAATTTCAAAATAAGCTATTTTGAAATAGATTTGAAATAATTTTGAGTAGATGCACCCTTACAGAGCCAGGACCTTCATCTCGCTAGATGTGGGCTGGGATTCTGTGAGTACTGTGAAGAGCTTATGTAAAGACTAAACCAGAAGAGTCAGTTGCAGTGCACAAGTGCTACTCACACACACAATTATTCTGTATGTACTTGAGTGCCATCTACTGGCACTTCATTAATTATTTACATCTCTACAACCATCCAGTGCTCCTGAAACATCTTGCTTCCTGTCATGGACACTAGGTAATAAACTATACAGTATTTAAACAATTAAGCCATTTCTCCAGATCTCTGCCAGATCATCTGCATTCCACTCTGAGGCTATGTCTACACTGCAGGCTTCTTGCACGAAAAACTTCTTGCGCAAGAGTGCATCCTCACTGCAAAAGTGATGTGCTTTTCCGCAAGAGAGCGTTCAGACTGCATGGACGCTCTCTCGCAAGAAAGCTCTGATTGCCATTAACACAATGTCCGCCGGGGCACCTGTGCTTCTTTCGATAGGCTGTTTTTGTGCAAAAAACCCGTTTCCCGTCCACATACACCTTTTTGCGCAAGAGCTGTTGCGCAAAAAGGAGTTATTCGTTGTAGAAAGAGGAATGCCTATACCGCAAAAAAAAAAAAAAAAAAAAACCTGTTCTGTCGATTCACTGTACATTTTTTTGCGCAAAAACATGCTTGAGGTGTGGATGCTCTACAAGTTTTTGCACACAAACTCTGCAGTGTAGACATAGCCTGAGCTCTTTCCTTCTGTTCTTTGCCACAAGATTTTTCTGATATCTCCTTTATCTGCTCCCCAGGGTTGAGCCTTTCCTGCATGTGCACACAACCCTGGGTGAGGGGCCTCATTGGGGTTATCTCTTTAAGAGCAGCTGCTCCCTGAGTGACTGCAGGAGAGGAGGACTGTGGTGGTGGTACAGTTGTCCTGTACATCTGTCCCCAGTACCCTGTATGACCATGATGCTACTTCTGGCATATCTTGCCCTACCATCCATCTCTGGTCTCTGACTCCTGCTTTTGAGGGGAGGGTGTGGCAGAGAGGGCAGGGGAGGGTGGTGAGGGGACTATAATGGCAGTTCAGTGGGGTGGCGTGGGTGCAAAGAGATGGGGGGGGTTAACCCTTTGTTTCCATTAACTTTCCTTGCTATCAGTTGAGTCTGTTCTTTGTCAAATACCCTTATGCTTGTTTTCACTGTAAACAGACTCCGGTGCTGGGGGGGGGGGGGGGGGGGGG